AATTTTCCCTATATAATATATATAAAAAAAAAAGTGAAACAAACTTTGTTTTTTCTTCTTCTCCTGTTGTGGGATTATAAAATAAATCTTAAAATTTTTATTTTTATATGATTAAATGGAAGTTAGGTAATGAATTTTTTTTAATTGTTTAAAATTAATAAAATCAGTATGAGAAATCGCGATTAAACTGGTGAATTGGTCAAACTCAAAATGATTCAGCCTAATTAGTTAGGTCAAATGACTAACCAACTTATACAAAAATTAATTAATTAAAACTTTTAAATGTTATTTTAATTTTAAAATTTAAAGTGTCTTGAATTGAAGTATATACAAATACTTTACTATTAAGATTCACTTTATATATGTGAAACAACTCACTTTTTTCTTCTTTTTCCAATATGGAATTATAAAATAAAAGTTAACAATTATTTGGACATCTAATTAATATATTTTTATAAAACCTCTAACATTGTGGTTAAACCAATGAATCAATCAAATCAAAAATGATTTAGCCTACTCGATTAGGTCAAAATTAATTAATTAAATTTTTTAAAATTTAAACTATGTTGAATTGAAACACGCACAATACTACAATATTAAATGGGATGAGGGTATAAGATTTATTTTATATGAGTAAAACAACTAATTTTTTTCGTTTTTCTCCAGATGTGAGATTATCAAATAAAAGCTAGTAAATAGAGATTTTTTTAATTTTTTAAAATTAAGAAAATAAAAAAAATTAGTATGAGATATTGAAACTCGTATAAGGCTCCTCACTAAAAGCACCCTTTACAATATTAGATAGGATGTGAGTATAAGATTTACTTTATATGAGTAAAACAATTCAATTTTTTTTATTCTCCTGATGTGAAATTATCAAATAAAAACTAACTAATATTTTTTTTAATTATTTAAAATTAAAAAAATCAAAAAAATTAATATAAGATATTATAACTCTTATAAAACTCATCACTAAAAACACAATTTTCCTTTGTATTTGTTTAAATTGACGCTGATTTGGTAAATGAAAGTGCGGGTTTACTGGGTTTTGTCCACTATCAAAGTCCACAAATCCAGAGTTCAAAATTAAAAATACACAAATCCAATTTGGGTTCTATTTATAACCTCTTTTTATTTTTTATTTTATTTTTAATTATTATTATTAATGATGATGCTGAGATCTGCAGAGCATATGGACCAAAATCGATCTCCTCCAAAAAAAATATAACACAATCTTCTCATAGGACTGGTGTCTTGGTCTGAGATTCTTTAATTGTAGAGGATAAACTAATTAAATTATTTGAGTTTTTCATACCTTTCAAGTTTCGTTTCTTTTTTCAGTTACTCGAATTCAGTTCGTAATTAATTCAATTGAACTTTTTTTGTGATCAATTCAAAAGTATAAACAAATTAAACAAGAACATATTTTTGAAACTCGTTAACAGATTTTCTAACGTTGAATCCAACACCGAAATTAGGCTTTCCTTATAAGAACATATTCTTATGGAGTTTAAGAGTATAATGGTGTTGCCAATCAATTAAAAATCCAGATGAATTTAGTAAAAACCTTTATCAGCTACTGTTTCAATCGTCTAATTTTCATTGTAATATTTTTCATTAACGGGTAAAATTAATATCCCTATTATATTTAATAATTATTTGAGATGGGGAGGTGAAAAGAAAAAGAAAAAAAAAAATTACCACAAAAGTTGACCCATATAATTGTTCAGGTAGAAGTCCGTTTTTGAACCTAGGCAAAGAGTTGAATAATGTTATGTCCAGATGATCAACAAAGAACTTGCTACTCCGAATTGGTCGATGTTTCTATCCAAACGCTTCTTTTGGTTTCTTTTGACAGTTAGGTTAAAAGTTAATTTATTAATTTATTAATTTTTTAATCACATCATTTATTTTTTTAAAAATAAAAAAAAATCAAAAAACAAACTTTTAACCTACTTTCTAAATTTTTAGAAGTGCTTACTGTGCCCATGGCATATCAACCTCACTGAGCAAAGGTAGGGGATATTTTGAATCCAGTGAGATGATTTGAATTATTTAATTTGTAAAGTTTTTTGAGTAAGATTTTTATGTAAAAATTAAAATTAATCGGATATTGACAATTACATGATTGAATCATACATGTCTTAAAAAAATTAAAAAGAAGACAAATATGATCTAATTATATATTTACCGATATTCGATTAATATGATTTTTTATAAAAATAATTTATTCAATATTTTTTACAAAAACAAATAATTCAGATCATCTTACGAACCCAAAGTAGGCCCAACCTTTACTCAGAGTAAACACCCAGATCCTAATTCTCGCACATAATAATATGATTTTTATAATCTTTTTATTCCAAACAAAAACGAGCATCACCATAGCATAAATTTAAAAATAGTATACTTTGTTCTAAAGACTGACATATAGAGAGAAATAACAGACTATGATCTTTTCAATTGCACATGTAATGGGCTTATACTCATAGTGGTTTGCCATAAAGGAACGGAACATGGTAGGTAAGTTATGACATTTGTGATATTTATAATTAAATAATTTTTTGTCATAATTAAAAAAATTAATGTCTAATAATTAAATATTACATAAGGTATAACTAAATATAATTTTTGTTATAATTAAAATAATAATCACAAATATCATAATTGAAACATATAGGGGGCGTTTGGTACAGTTGTTAAAACATATTAGAACTTGTAACTTAATAGATTATACATTACAGCTTTAATCAGAAGCTGTTAATCTGTTTGGTATAACTATTAAATTATAGATTTAAGTTGTTGAGTAGTGTTTGTTTAATAAGCTGTAAAATAGTTTTTTATTGTGTAATGTCTTTTTTGCCCTTATTAGATATAAAAATTGTTAACCTCTTTCATTTTCTTCATTTTTTTATTACATGCCAGTTAATATAAAAATTGTGATTTATTTTTTCATTACAATAAAATGCAAAACATCAATTAATTAAGAATTATGATTATTTTTTTCATTATAATACAAATTAATAATATAAAAATTGTTATTTTTTTAATTTATTATTAATTCATTACAATTAATATGAATTAATAATATAAAAATTGTGAAGTTTTTTTAATTTATTATTAACTCATTACAAATACAAATTGTTTATTTTTAATTTTTAATTTAATAATTCATTAATTAATGATATCAGTTAATATCAATTAAAAATTGTTACAAATACAGCCGGTAGCCCTAGCCATCGTCGGCCACCTCGTTCTGCTCTTTCTTCTCATCTTACCGCCAGTAGCCCTTTGCAAAACCAGAGTGAACACGGAGAGAGCTAGGGTTGATCGCGAAGAGAGAGAGAGAGAGAGAGAGAGAGAGAGAGAGAGAAGAGAGGCTTGTCGTTGATAGTGAAACGATAGAGAAAGACAACTAGGGTTGATTGCGATTGCGATCACGCCGCCAGAGAGGAGAAGAAGGGGTAAGGCCACGCCGTTCATCGTTGCGCTAGGGTTTCGCATCACGATGGTTTTAGATCGCGATGGGTTTCACGGCACAGCCAGAGAACAACGCCGGAGAGAGGGAAATGAGGAGAGAGAGAGAGAGAGAGAGAGTTCATATCGCTGGAAATCGCCTCTCTGTCACAATGGAAATCGCCACTCTGTCTCTCTCTCAATGAATGAACAGTGATCTTTGTGGTTTATATAGTGGCAATTTGCTAATACTTCAAATTAGTGAAGGGCATTTAAATAATTTTGGATCTCTCTCCGCATAGTCCACTTGTGGAAGCAGCTCCCAACCGTTTATGCTTTTAGACTTTTTTATGTACGAAAAAAATCTATGGAAGCTCAAGCTATAGGCCTTAAGCTTAACCAAACACTCTGTATTAGCTTTTTAGAAGCCAAAAGCTATAATCTTTTCAAATTAAGCTAGACCAAACACTCCCATAGTACACGCCTCAAACTAATACCAACATATAATGAGTCATAATCAATCATAACTAATATCACAATATATCATGAATAATGTTTGGGACCACTAAAGTAGCAGCTCTAAAGTTACACTAATGAGGTGGCATTGCTGTGGGTCCCACCTTGATGTGATATTTGGCCTTTGTTTTTTTTTTTTTTGTTTGCATTGCCAGCTCATTAGAGCTGATATTAGTGTTCCTAAATTAGTTGTATGTATCACCACTGATAGATCATAAACGAAGATTACAAATATCAGAATTGGAACATATAGTACACACCTCAAAATAGGTACTTTAAAAAAAAAAAAAAATTTCTCTACAAAAAAAGTGTACTTTTTTTTTTTCCATATATGTGTGTGTATAGCATGTGGGACCCATCAATGTTAGATTCATGTATAAAGAAATAAAGAGAGAGAATAAAATGTGTATATGAATGTTATATTGATATATTCAATATATTGATGTTGTATTTAATGTTCAATTGATCTCTCTCCTTTATAGAGGAGAGGGAGAACAAAAAGAACCTTACAAACCGAAAGAACCGAAAGCAAAAGCACAAACCAAACAACATTATTAAAGGTACATTATTAAAGGTTTGACAGCTAATATATATACTAATAGGGCATGGCTTCTGTCCAGTCCTTAATCGAACTGGACCATGCTGTTGGGCCCATGGGGGCTCACCACAGGTTCCGTTTTGATAATCTGAACCGTTCAATGTGTAGAACTCGTCGAGTACTATATAGTTATCAAAAATCACATTAATCGGATATCGATAGCTATGTGATCAAATCAGTTTTGTATAAAAAAATGGACGGTGAATAATTAACGGTTGACAAAAATCTGTTTTGATCACATAGCTATCGATATCCAATCAACGTGATTTTTTACAGACATATAGTACTCGATGAGTTCTACACATTAGAAGGTTTAGATTATCAAAACGAGACCCGTGATGGACCTCCATGGACCCAACAACACGGTCCAGTCCGATTAAGGACTGCACAGAAGCCATTCCCATACTAATATATACTAACAATCAACACAGAGTAAGAGAGAGAAAGAGAGAGACATTTGAGAAGGATCAAATGGCAACAAGCTCAACAAGACAACTACTTAGCGTTTGTTTCTTTCTTTGTTATATGCCTTCTCTTTCAAATGGGAGAGTCACTCCCAATTTCAAAATCAGAGCAGTGAATCTTGGAGGTTGGCTGGTTACAGAGGGATGGATCAAACCATCTCTCTTTGATGGCATCCCCAACAAAGATTTCTTGGTTTGTAAACATATACTTCTTACATGTTCTCTAATCTTGAACTTATGCTGTGTTTCGGTCTTGAATTGGAGTCAGTATTTGCAAGATAAAATGAAAAAGCGACGAAAAATTAGTTTTTATTTTTATCCACTATTCCATTCCATTCCATTTTATCTTGCAAATACTGTTTTTATCCACTATTCCATTCCATTCCATTTTTCTTTTCTTTTTTTGTAAATTAAACACAACCATAGTTTGATTATGATAATCTTTGATGTTATTGATGTATTGTTATTCATTTTTCTCAACTTTTTGAAACTGACTTTGAAATTTCACTAGGATGGAACTGAGCTGCAATTCAAATCAGTAACAGTGGGAAAATACCTTTGCGCCGAACAGGGTGGAGGAACAATCATAGTTGCCAACAGGACCTCTGCTTCAGGCTGGGAAACATTCAAAGTAAGAAACCAATTAAAATTAATTGTTTAATTATACGAGTCTCTGATCATCAAAAACCAACTTTGTTTATCTGTTTTTGTTTTGTGAAGTTGTGGAGGATCAATGAGACGACCTTTCAGTTTAGAGTGTTGAACAAACAGTTTATGGGACTAAATTACACAACTGGAAATGGGATTGATGTGGTTGCCATCGCGAACACGTCATCAGAAACGTTTCAGATTGTTAGAAATTCTGATGACTTGAGCCGGGTTCGGATTAAGGCACCCAATGGGTTCTTCTTACAGGTTAATCCCCCTCTTTGTTTTTTGTTTTTGTTTTATTTGTTGTTGTTTTCAAAGATTAATGTTTAAGGCATGCCATTCATTTTTAACCAGGTATATTTTGTAGAGGGGAATTGATGGGGTGTTTGGGAAGAAAAAAAATAGTTTTAGACTTGTGATTTATATAATTTTATATTTTAATTTTTTTAGTGATTCATTTAGTCTTTTTAAATATATTGTCATTATAATCTCCTTAATTGTTACTGTTTGTTAGAGTGTTATATTTGAAGAAAGTCACTAAGAAATTGTTTTAGAGAGAGTGTTATATTTAAGAAAAATACACTAAGAAATTTATTTTTCAATGTTACATTAGAATGTCACATTTGAGAAAAATATATTAAATAGTTGTTTCTCAATGTTATATCATACTTTCTATAACGGAGTATTACATTTAAAAAAAGTACACCAATAATTTTTTTAGCAGACCTAGACGTACCCCATATCACACTATACTCATTATATTAAAGGAATTTTTGGTGAAAAGTCCCTTTTATGGGGGCTTTTTTGTGTGAAGCCCACCAAATAAAATAATAGTTTCAAAAGTCCCTCAAATAAAAAAATATGATGAAATGGCTGAAATGCCCTTCCATATAATCCAAAACCCTCGCTGAACCATTTCTCTTCCCTTTCTATCTCTACATTACTGGAATTCTTTCGCTTCCTTTTATTTTCTCTCTTTTTAAGCCCTAAACCCTTTTGATCTCCATTTTCGATCCATCTCACAAAATCGAAATTTTGAAATCGTCCATTGAAATCCATCACCATCTCAGATTTGATGCTTATGAACTTATGTTTGAGATCAATAGTTTCAGATTTGAGATAAAATGACCTCATATATGTCCAAAAAAATGATAAATTGATATATTACAATAAAAAATCGAGAGTTTTTTATTTGTTTGTTCATAGATCTAAAGTAAAATTCGACTATAATTCATTTATCTAATATGTACTATGTTTTCGCAACAGTAAAATTTTACTTTGGTTAATGAAAAATAAAGTGTATTCTCTTATGCATAGACAAACATTCAACAACACAGTAAAATTTTACTTTGAGATTCAGAGTAAATTTTACTCTGAAATACAGTAAAATTTACTAAAAAACAAATCAGAAACTGCATAGACAAACATTCAACAATACAGTAAAATGTTACTTTCAATTCAGAGTAAATTTTACTCTGAAATATAGTAAAATTTTACTTTAAAATAAAGTAAAATTTTATTTGAAGATTCGGAGTAAATTTTACTCTGAAGATTCGGAGTAAATTTTACTAGAAAACAAATCAGAAACTGCATAGACGAACATTCAACAACACAGTAAAATTTTACTTTCAATTCAGAGTAAATTTTACTCTGAAATGCAGTAAAATTTTACTCTGAAATAAAGTAAAATTTTATTTACATGTTAAGAAAATATAACAGATAACACCAGAGTAAAATTTTACTCTCATTTTATGAAACAAAAACAGAGCACAAACCAGAGTAAAAGTTTACTCTCATTCTGTCAAACAAAAACAGAGCACAAACCAGAGTAAAATTTTACTTTCATCATGTCAAACAAAAATAGAGCACACCTGATTGAACTCAGCAAATCAACAAAAACAAATCAAAAATAACAACAGATTTATATAGCTTTGCAACGTAATCTCTCATTTAATTAAGAGTGTTGATCTTGGATGATGAGATCGTGTATTGTTGACCAAGGGTGAGATCGTCGGCGGTGAGATCTTTAGACTTTGAGATTGTCTTCATGAATTTCACAGATCATCTTCACTTTGTAGATCATCTTCAAGATCGTTTTATGCATGAGTTGAGATTGTTTAAATATATATATATATATATATATGAGGGCAATATGGCCAAAAAGAAAAAACTAATTATAAAATGTCCTTATTGAGTTAGGCTTCTCTTACTCAGGTGTTTTTTGAAGGAGAATTCATGGAGTTGTCCTTTATCTTAAAAAAAGGTCCAAAACAGGGGGTCTCACCAAAAATCTCTTTTTCTAATACCATCTCTACCTCCTCCTTACCACTCCCCATTCCTCCTCTTTACTAATACTAAGGGATTACTAGTCCCCTCCCTATCTCTCAAAACAAACACCTCATTCTCAATCCCCTCCTCACTATCAAACTCAATCCCCTCCCCATAACCCCAAACAAACAGGGTTCATGTAGTTGAGAGATTTTGATTTCATGATTAAGGACTGTATAGTAATCTTAATAATTCTTTACATTAAACCCACTAAAACTCATAATGGCATGGCAATTTATCGACAATTAAAGTAGGATTTTGATGATGTGTTGTTATGGCATCCTTTGAGATGGATATCTCCGTTTCTTGCAAGAAATGGAGAGAATTCAAACCATGTCTATATTAAAATAGAATTAAAATTGAATATCACGAGCTGTGAATGAGGATTAAAATGCAATTAACGAAAGTTTATTGTTGAAATTAAGAGTTTGTTTGGTTGTTTTTTTATTTTTCATTTTCCAAAAACACAATTTTTTTTCCTTTTCTTTTTCACAAACAGCACAACTTTTAGGAAAAGTCAAAAAATTGCTTTCTCACTAAGTGATTTTTTTTTTTTCCTTTAAACTTTTCGTTTTTTCTTTTGAAAAATAAGAAAAGCAAAAAAGAAGAAATCAAATCACACCCAAAGAAGCCATATTTATTTTTGGAACTGAGTAAACAAATGAACGAAATCAAAATTTATATTTAATATGAAAAGAAAAATTGATGGATTTCAGGAGCATTGGAGGACATTCATAGTTGAAGAAGACTTCAAGTTCATATCAAAGAATGGAATAAATGCAGTGAGAATTCCAGTAGGGTGGTGGATTGCCAGTGATCCAAAACCTCCACACCCTTACATTGGGGGATCTTTGAAAGCCTTGGACCATGCCTTCCTATGGTCTAGGTATGTACTTTTTTTCTTTTATTTTTATTTTTTAAAAAATAAATCCTGCAAAGTAAATCTGGATGCACATAGTTATTGATAAATTATGTGTATCAATAAGACTAAATGTGTAATGAAAATTATTAAATTCAAACACAATACTAAAAAGAATCGAACCTAAAATGTTTAGATTCTAGTGCAGATAGATTTTTCACTCAAATACTTGCATTCCTCACTAACCTCAAACAATTCGTTTGGGGACTAAATATTTTAGCTAAAAAGTCATTATAACCATAATTTTCTTTACTTTTTTACACACATTTTTTTTTTAAAATGTCAAAAAGTTACTAAAACAATCTGTTTCCAAACAATTGTGGCTTAAAAGTCAATGTATTGACTACAAAAATTTATTTTATAAAAAAAATCTTAATTCAATTGATGAATTCATTTTTTGGTTTGAAAAAATCGCTTATTTTGAAAACAAATTTTCATTCGTATCTCGTTCCCCCAACCTTTTTAGACCACAACTCACCTTTGACCACTAGTAATCACCTCCCATCAAGATTCACTTCTGGCCGCGGCCAACTTCCTCACTTTTTTTCAATATAAGTTTTTGAAAACATGTTTGGGCTGAACATGTTATTTTTTCCGTTCTCACAAAAAATAAACACAAATATGTTTAATAACTTGGTGTTATTTTGCTTGCAGAAACTATGGCATTAAGGTTATCATTGACCTACATGCTGCACCAGGTTCTCAAAATGGTTTTGAGCATAGAGATGGATTTCAAGAATGGGGATTGTCTGAGCAAAATATACAACAGACAATTAACGTTATAGACTTCTTAACTGCCAGGTATAAGCATACAATCACAATGTTTTGCGTATATTGCATTTTGTGCCATTATATTAGTATGAAATAGTGCATCTCCAACTGATCATGTTATTTTAATCATGTTAATATCATATTTTCGCATGTTATAGTGTCAGAAGAATATAACTGCGAGACACTTTCCAGTGCATATATTATTTTTTAGCATGATTTCAATTTCAACCACACGGTAAGATCATGTGTTCCTAATCATATGTATTCGCAACCTTTTAAATTAAAATCTTAATTAAAAATTTTGTAATCCAATAATTAATATTTTAAAAATTTCAATTTATTATCTTAATTCAAACTTTAAATTAAATAAAATTTGATAGCTAGTATTTTTTGAAAAAAAATGCTTATAATATACTGGTTGGTGTTTTTAATTTATTAAGTTTATTGAATTTAATTTGACTCAAATTGCACTTTATTTTCCATTATTCCAATTTAAACAATATTAACACTAAATTTTAGATTTCATTTTTAATTCAGTCATTCCATTTAAATTAGACATTAAAATAAATTATTTTTAACACATGTCACTTACATAAGGAGTACATGTATAAAAACTTAGGATTTACATTGTTTAAATTGAAATAAATATCAGATTGATGTTTGAGTCAAACTATAAGTTAAAAAATGTAATTTCTACTTATATAAAAAAATACATGACATAGTATTTTTTTGGGACAATATAATAAATTTTAAGAAGTCAATGGTTAAATAAGATTTCCTTTAAAAACCAAATTATTGGTTTAAAAAATTCATTTTGTTAAAAAAAAAAAAAACTAAATTGGTTAACAAACCTATTTGTTACCTAAAAGGACACTTTAACCATTCTAAAAAACATTAAAAAAAATAAAAAAAATAATTTTAAATTAAGCCAAATAAATTAATTTTTTTGTAAACTTATTTTTAATGAGCAAACTATTTAATTAACTCTTAAAAAAGCCTAATTTAACGCGATGTTAGAATGTAATTTTATTTTGTTTTTGGTTTTTTTTTTTTAATGTTCATCATGTGTCTGATTGGAGTTGCTCTAACAATTTAACTTTCACACACACGCGAAAAAGGGGCAAAATTCACCTCATTAAAGTTTGAAAAAAAATACAATCAAATTATATTTTTGATACAAGAATTAGATTTTTTCCAGTTCACTATGGATTAGACCATGTTGTTTGGCTTAGTGAGGTCTATCATAGGCCTCATCTATTATTGATAAAAATAAAAATGAAAAAGGTCAATTCGACAATCATAATTACGTTACTTTATTGTATGTCTCTAAAAAAATAAATGATTTAATTTTCAAATAATATTTGTCATTCATTTTTTTACGTGGGGTTGTTTGGGATTTTGGCTTAGTGAGGTCTATTATAGGTCTCATCTATTATCGACAAAAATAAAAATAAAAAAGGTCAATTCGACAATCATAATTACGTTACTTTATTGTATGTCTCTAAAAAAATAAATGATTTAATTTTCAAATAATATTTGTCATTCATTTTTTTTACGTGAGGTTGTTTGGGATGATCTAAATAAGTGCACTTCTTGACTTTTTACGAAAAGATATGCAAAAAATAGAGAGGTGATGTGACCAAAAAAAAAGATACGAAGATAAAAAGTGTGCTTATATAGTACACATAAAATATTGTGGCTATGGTTATCGAATCAACTTAATTCTTTTGGTCGATGATTTACACGTTATGATTTAAAAATGAATAGTTTGGATCATCGAGATAAGATCCGTGGTGGACTGTACATGTCCAAACAACTTGATCCAAAATCCACTAACATTTCTTTTAATAAAGTTAAATTGACTGAAACTAATGCAAATAATTGTTAAATCAACTCCAATCAAATTCACACAAATTATTGTTTTTTGATTGTTATATGATCTTATAGATATGCTAACAACCCAAGCCTTTATGCTGTTGAGCTGATCAATGAGCCTTTAGCACCTGGAGCATCACTAGATAGCATAATCAAGTACTATAAAGCTGGTTATGAAATTGTTCGAAAGTACTCCAAAACAGCTTATGTGGTTATGTCAAACCGGTTAGGACAAGCTGATCCTAAAGAACTCTTTCCTCTTGCTAGTGGTTTAGAGAGGACAGTGATTGATGTACATTACTACAACCTCTTCTCTAATGTTTTTAACAACATGACTGTCCAACAAAACATCAACTTCATCAACACCAACCGAACAGCTGATTTGAATCTGGTTACTACATCAAATGGGCCTCTCACTTTTGTGGGTAATGTTCCTAACACTACAGGAAAATGAGGATTTAACGGCGTTTAATTAACGGCGTTTAATTAAACGTCACCTTTTTTTATAATTAACGGCGTTTTTTAAACGTCGCCTTTGTTGTTAGGTAAAACGGTACCGTTTTGTAGAAAGAAGACGTTTAAAAAACGCCTCAAACCTCTCTCTTCACACCCTCTTCCCTGTCTCCCTTCACACCCTCTTCTATCTCTCTCAGTTTTTATTTTGAAAACCTATTTTGAGCACCGCCGTCTCCTTCTCACTCACTCAAATCTCTCCCAACACCCTCCAACGGACAGGAACACCCTTCCAAGGGTGCATTTCCAGCAATTGATAACCACTTTCAATCATCATCTCCGAGCATCGTCAACCATTTTGAGCCACCCTCTTCACTTGTTTTAAAAAAAAAAACAGTTCTAAAACATACGTACCAAATATGTTTTATGTTCACCTTTACTAAAAATAAACTGTAAACATTTTCGTAAATGTTACCAGTATATGTCAAATTGTCAATAGAACTTGTTTGGTCTTTTCATTTACTAGAAAATGAATGAACCTTTTGTTTGAATTTGCAGGGGAATGGGTTGCAGAATGGAAGGTAAGTCGGGCCACGAGAGAGGATTACCAAAAGTTTGCTGATGCCCAATTGCAAGTGCATGGGCGGGCCACCTTCGGCTGGGCTTATTGGACCCTCAAGAATGTCAACAACCATTGGAGTCTTCAATGGATGATCCAGAATGGTTATATCAAACTCTAGATTTTAGTACTGCTTGCTTGTAATTCTCAATATTTTAACCACCCTTAAAAAAAAATAAAAATAAAATAAAATGTAAGATTTTTTGAAAAAAAATAATATTCGTAGTTTGCTAAATTAAAATGACCAATCAGCTATTTAATTAATGAAATCAATAAAGAAAAAAAAAAGTATAACTTTAACTTTCCCAAATTTTCTAAAACAGTGTCGATAAATTCTTATTAACGCCGGATCTTCTGTCCCAATTCACTACCTTAGCTTTCTTTTTCATTTTCCATGTGTTGCCACTTTCGTTATTGCATAAAACTATTCTTCATTTCGTCACTATATGTTGACGGAACTAGAACTTGAAAAGCATATTCTCTCACTAAAAATACATTCAAATAATTGTCCCTTGCAACTTGACATAGGGACTTTTTGTAACAAGTTTTAGGGGTGATTATAACTTATTTTGATTTGAGAGTCTATATCAGATTATTTAGTACAACTTCTGCTTATAGGTTATTAGGTAAAAATAACTTAAATAAGCTAAAAAAAAGTAATTATTTGAAAGTTGGGACAGAGATGCTTTTAGCTTCTATTTTCTGATTATCAACTTTTAAGTTAGGAAAAACTCCACCAAACAGGACAATAGACATTTGCAAAATTATAGTATCAATCCTGTGGCAACATATTTTGTGAATGATAACACGTGGCCAAGGTAGCACCAGAGTGTCAGTCGAGGTGTCACGTGTATTGGTCATGTTGCTGAGGTTATCTTGGATAAGTCGAGGTTATCTGCGGAGATATCGGAATCCGAGATAAGCGGATAAGGGACAAGAGTCCTAGATTGAGGGAGGATCTCAGTCTGGATAAAGATAAAGTTCTTAAGGAGTTTATCTCTATCTAGTTGAGAGTCCCAGATAAGCATTGAGCTAGAGTCCATTGAAACTAGGCTTCTACAGGGATTAGATTAGTGCTGGCTATAAAAATAAGGCACCCTCGTGAGTCTAAGGTACGTTTTTTGTATTCTGGCTTTGTAAGTTAAGCACTATTTGCTATCTTTGAGAGATAAACTGAGTACTGACTTGATCGTCGGAGTGTCCCCTGGTGGACGAACCACCGCTGGAGCCTTATCTTTCTATGACAGGTTGTTCGGGAGTAATTTATTCTACCTGTGCACTCCAGCTGAGTTCCCTGTTTGGCAGTGTGGTCGGAAATCAGTACCCACAATTTGGCGCCATCTGTGGGAAGTAAAAGGAGAATAGATGGCCAACAACGAGTAGAAAGAAAAGATTGGGGGCGACATCCCTAGTGGAAGTGGTAAAAATGCCGATCCAAACGTAGAGGACAATTGTAACGAAGAAACTCGAGATAAGAATCCCAGAGAAAAATATTTCGACTAAAAGGGAGACGTACCAAAGAAAGTGTGTTAGGGCAGGTATTACAATGAAAGTGACCTCCAGGTATGGAAAGATAGATGCCTAAGGAGGGATGGCGAGATGAGGGGGATGGCAAACAAATTGGCAGACCTGCAATCGATTGTCAATTTCATGATGCAAAACAACGTCATGTAGCCACCATTCCCATTAGAGGACACGCCGATTCCAGCGGCCAAGCACGATGCCCAGAAAGAGGGGCATAAAGCAATCCCTGCAGTCCCTCAGCATGACAGGACAAGAGAGCATTCGCATCAGCCTTCACGGGAGGTCAGGTGAGGAGAATCGATGAGAGGAAAGTCTCAAAAGACACATTGTGCCAAAGAAACCTACGTCAAAAAACATCAGCATGTTCAAGGGAAGGAGCTTTGTTTTGACCCGATGAATGGAGGGAGGTCCAAGAAGACTAATAACGACACCGGGGAGCAACGTACCAAAAAGGTTAAAATCCATTGATAGCCGAGCTCCTAGACGGACTAAGGAGGATTTGAGGGATTACCTCCAGAGGAAGCGACAAGATGCTGAGGTAACATCTCCGGTCAAGCCGAGAACGTCGTTCTCAATAGAATTGGACAAGTTTGAGGCCCCGAAAAGGTTCCACATATCGAGATTCTAGATATACGATGATAAGTCTAAATCCCAACTTTCATGTCGGCTTATATTTGAACTCAATGGCACTGTATACCGAGAACGAGTTGTTGCTTTGCAAGGTGTTCCCCCCATTCTTTGGGAAAATTGCATGAGATTGATTTCACAAGTTGTCGAAAGGAATTGTGAAAAGTTAGAAAGGCTTACCCGAGATGTTTGTATCCAGCTTTGTTACAAACAAATTGCACCTGTTGAGGGTAGACTCGCTGATGGCTTTAAGAATTGGCGAGGATGAAAGCCTCAGGGCTTATGCCAAAAGGTATTATGAGGTATTTAACCGAATACCAGGGTGTAACCAAGAGGTGGCCGTCGTATCTTTTAAGAATGGCCTGAACGATGACTGTCTGCTTCGAAAGTTGTTGGCAAAGACACTGCCAAAAAGTATGGAGGAACTTATGGCCAGAATCGAGAAATATGGGAGAGTAGAGGAAGACACGCCAGGAACAAAGGTGTCAAAGCAAGGAAAGAGGAATGGCTCGCCGAAACGAGGCCGAGGTAATACAAACGTTAACAGACAAGAAATGAGACTGAGGGCTGCACAGGCAGTCACCACAGTGTTTCGGATCCCGATTTACAAAGTCCTGGAAAGGATTAGGAATCAGCCTTACTATAGAGCACCAAAGAAGATCCCTGGCGAATTTATGGGAAGAAGCCTGGGGAAGCACTGTGCCTACCACAATGAGGATGTGCACCTGACTCAGGGATGTAGAGCCCTAAAGACACATTGTGAAGACCTGGTAAGACAGGGTCACTTAAGGGACCGGGTAGATGAGGCCAGAACAAGGGAAGAGTAAGCAAGGCTGCCTTAGGCACCGGCAGCACCACCTCCACCAGCACCACAACTGCAAGTAGCCTCGAGTGATTAATGTGATTCACTCGAAGGTCAATGAGAACGAGGTACGTGGGGAGACTCAGAGGGTAAAACACTTATAACATGTGTATCAGGTCCAGCAAAAGAGGCCTAGGGCAGACAAGTACCATGGACCAATGGTCTTTTTTACTGAAGCCTACTTAGACATGGTGAAAAGAGGCCTAGGACAGACGAGTGCCAGGGACCAATGATGTCCTTTATTGAAGCAGACTTAGACATGGTGCAGTATCCACACAATGATGCTCTGGTAGTAACCCTTAAGATTGAAAAATGCCAAGTAAGGCACATTCTGATTGACTAAGGCAGCTCTTGTGATATCATGTATGTTAACTATTACAAGGAGCTCGGCTTTCACCGAAATGATTTTGAGCAGTTCAACAGCCCAATGGTCAAGTTCAATGGAACCCCGACATGGCCCCTGGGAGGAATAAGTTTGGAGGTGCAGGCAGGCACCAAGAATGTAAGCACAGAGTTCACAGTAATTAACAGCCCCTCCTCTTACAATGTTATCTTAGGAAGGCCATGGTTGCACGCAATGAGGGTTGTTTCCTTAAGACTACACCAGCTGTTATGGTTTCCAACAGAGCATGGAATTGAGGAGGTCAAAGGGGATCAGGTGCAGACAAAAAATTGCTCCATGGCAGTAATGAAATCCACTTGTAACGTGTGAGAGGCAGCAGAGACCGTAGAGATTAAGGACGAGGACATGGAGGTCCTGGATGACGCCAGCAAAGAGCCGACCGACAAAAGCGAGGAAGCCTTGAAGAAAATTCTGGTTCAACAAGGGAATGGAGAGCGTTTTTTCCTCGGCTCAGGCTTGGCCGAGGAAGAGGAGAGGGAGTTAGAAGCATTTTTGCGAGCAAACATAGAGATGTTTGCCTGGACGCCATAAGAAACGTCTAACATTGACCCTGAGGTTACATGCCGCAGACTGAACGTAGACAGGTCGGCAAAACCCATCAATCAGAGAGCGAGGAAGCCGACGTTGGTTCATGTGGAGGCAGTAGAGGAGGAAGTGGACAAATTATTAGAGGCCAAAGCCATCTGAGAGGTAAACTACCCTACCTGGCTGTCCAATACCGTGGTTGTAAAAAAGAAGAATGAGAAGTGGAGGGTCTGCGTGGACTTTACTAGCCTGAATAAGGTTTGTCCTAAAGATAGTTTTCCACTCCCCAAGATCGATCAATTAGTGGATACCACTTCAGGACATGAAAGGATGAGCTTCCTGGACACTTATAGGGGGTACTATCAGATAGCAATGTACCCCTTCCAAAAGGGCTGTATTGCGATATAGTGATGCCTTTCGATTTGAAAAATACAGGAGCAATATACTAGAGGTTAGTGAGTAACCAAGATGTTCAGACATCAGATTGGCAAAACAGTGGAAGTATACATCGACAACATGGTCATGAAGACCAAGGAACCTAAGGGTCATCTGGCCGACTTGAAGGCAGTGTTCGACATCCTTAGAACATATCGGCTCCAACTCAATGCTTTGAAATGTGCATTTTGGAGTAGGGTTTGGTAAGTTCTTGGGATACCTGGTTACCAGAAGGGGCATTGAGGCAAGCCTAGATCAAATCAAGGCCATCTTAGATTTGAAAAGGCCAGAGTCAGCAAAACAAGTGCAGATGTTGACTGGAAGAGCTGCAACCCTGAACAAATTCATAAGCAAAAGTTTGGATAAGTGTAAACCGTTTTTCAGTCTGTTGAAAAAGGCCACTGATTTCTTGTGGACAGAGGAATGTGAAGTCTCCTTGGTTGACTTAAAAAGATACCTGACCACAGCTCGAGTTCTCTCAAATCCGATACCTAGAGAGGAGCTATTCTTATACTTGGTGGTTTCAAAGCACGCAGTAAGTGCAGTGATAATCAGAGAAGAGAATGAAGAATAAAGAACAGTATATTATGTGAGTAAAACCCTCGCAAGAGCAAAGACCAGGTATTTACCCCTGGAGAAATTGACATTGGCCTTGATTGTGGCCTCCAAGAAGTTGAACCATTATTTCCAAGCCCATAAGATTGTGGTATTGACTAAGCACCCCTTGAAATCCCTATTACAGTAAGGAGATTTAATAGACAGGGTGGCCAAATGGGCAGTTGTATTGGGCCAATACGATTTAGAATTCAGACCTAA